GAGCCAACGAAACACGGAATCCATGCTGAACAGATTATGATTGAACAGCTGCGTAAAATTTAGCAGAACATAGAAAAAGTTTTTAGAGAAAGTTATGAACATATACACAGCATAGAAGTCATTCAAAGTTACTCACCATGTAGTTATTGTTCTTGCGAATTAAACACATTCTGGATGGAAGAAAAAATAAAGATGGTGGTGTGGTTCCAACAGACTTTGAAAAAGTACAAGCAATTGAGTTCAAAATCCCTTTTTCAAACTTCTATAACCATGACGATAGGAAAATTCAGGAGGGGTTTGAAAAAACTTTTGAAAAGAGGTATTAAACTTGACATCTTCACAGATGACAACCGGAAATATTTTTAATGCCACTGGACTAGTTACAGAGAGACAAAGAAGAGAAATAAATGACAAGGAAATTCTCCAATACTTTGAAGGAACAGTGGCTCTAGAAACAATCACAGACTAGTGATTTTGTGTGTGTGGTTTTTTTTTTATTTGGTTATTTTGATGGGAACTTTAAATGCATAAAATAACGAATAAGTGAGGCTATATCAATATACTGAATTAACTACAAAAACAAACATCGTAACTTATGAACCTGTAACACAGATGCGTGTGTTATTCACTTTGAAGAAAATTCGTAAACAGCCTTTTTATCAACCACCATATACATGATATATATAGCTGTAAATAAATGGCAGTTTATATAACACTTGTGGTAGAAAAAATTGTGTCAAATAATTTAATTACATTATTGTGGAATAAACATTTTACACCAGATATTTTGGCCACTGGCTTGATTTAGTTGTTTTTCTCTCTCAATTGCATGGTACAGTATCTTATTTGAAGATAGTTGCTGACACATGATATAAATAGTTGCACATGAATACAAATCAAGGTCATACTTAACTGTGTTTAATTAAAGTGAAGTACAATAGTAGTCCATGAGACAGAAACAGTACAGCAGAATAAACACAAATATACATCTGTTAAAGTTAGTACTAATAAAAGTGTACTAAATTTCAATGGTCAATATGAACAGGAATCTAACCTGAGACAACTTAAACTAATCACGAGACAGCCTCCAGCTGAACTTCAGAAAGTTCTGCCAGACTTGAGCAATACATACCTTCCAGAATTTTTTTACCATCATGATAGCTACTCAATTGAAAGGCTGCTTCCAGAGTGCATGTTATGTTTGTCATGGGCATATTGAAATTTTTGCGAGAATAAAAAGGAAATTTATAATGCATCTAACCAGAAATGAGTAAAATGGCTCTGTAGATAAACTTGATTGAGAATATTAGTAAGACGTATAGATAGTCCCTAATTAGTTAATAATTAAAAAGACTGTAAAAAGACGCATGACTCTGAAATGAAAAAAAAACATGATTTTCAGAATCAAGTCGACATTCACGAACCCAAACACCAGAGTAGTTTGTAGTAGTTGGCTATAAAAATACAAAGAAAAAATGTCAAATATCACTAAGCATTCACCACCTTATTTTTGACTTTAAACTGAGAGAAAGTGTGATAATAATTCATTTATTGAGGGTTATAACGTCCAGTGGCAAATATTCCATGCATGTTCAAGACAATAAGAGTGATAATGAAATGTATCAGTATAACACAAATCAATGGATACCTGCGCATGTACACCTAATCAGATATTTATCAGAATTTCCACATTGTAAAATTGTATTCTAAATCCTTGAGAAAGGCTTAGAACTAGGATATCAAACCAAAAAAATTGAATATCATAAATATATGTAGCATTGAGAAGTCGTTATATGCTACAATTGGTCAATAATCTTCATTTATAAGGACAATAAACGAAAAACAAATATTATAGAAAGCAACCATACATTTGAACATTTACTTTTTTAAATTGAAAAAAAAACACAATTCTTGTTTTTTCTTAAAAATATGCTAAATAGACAAGCAACTGACAATAATTTATGCAAATCATTTAGCAATATGCATTGCCCTTAACAACAGACAGGTGCAATTACGCTGTTAAAATGTAGATATCCAGAAGAAATGAGGATTATTTTATCAAACGCATCAAACCTTTACACATAAATATTGAATTGAATAAGTACAATTTAACTCCTTGTTTCCCATTGTTTAACTAGGCAACTGAATAAAGTCCTTTTATTCCAATGCAAACTGTCGTTCCCTCTACTTAAAAATTCTATCCTGGGATTACTATAACACATTGCTGGTGTCATCCTGGGACTGTTAGAACAAATTGCCGGTGTCATCCTGAGACTACTATAAATCATTGCTGGTGTCATCCTGCATGAGACTACTAGAACAAATTGCTGGTGTCATCCTGAGACTACTAGAACAAATTGCCGGTGTCATCCTGAGATTACTGACACATTGCTGGTGTCATCCTGAGACTACTAGAACACATTGCTGGTGTTATCCTGAGACTGCTAGAACACATTGTCGGGGTCATCCTGACGCTACTAGAACACATTGCCAGTGCCATCCTGATACTACTAGAACACATTGCCGGTGTCATCCTTAGATTACTAGAACACATTGCTGGTGTCATTCTGAGACTACTATAACACATTGCAGGTGTTAAAGTACTCTCCATCCTATCTGTCATTACAAATAATTTCTGATCTGAGCATAGAAACATAAGTTACATAATTTAAGCATTTGCTCAGATAACATGTAAATACCTTGATATTTTACCACCAGCTTATTAAAATTTGTTATTCTTCAAACAAAATGGCACTTGTTTTTATAAGTACAAAGATAGTAGTCCGTGATGCTTGGTAACACTTGTATCCTGACTGTTATGTTCTAACCGGTAGAAATTATTTCTGGAAGGATTGACTTCAAATTTGGCTCAGAGATTTGATCATTTGTTAAATGGATATAGAATCAAAATCGAAAAAAAATATTTGTAATTGGTAAAAACATGACCATACCAGTATCCTGACCAATGAAAATGCTAAATTCTTTTTAATCTCTTGAAAGATTTACCTTTTTGTAATATGTCAAAGGGGAAAATAATTGTCATGACCCATGTTGACTTAGCCCCAAGCAACATACATTATTAGAAATGAATATGTTGCAATGATTCTATATACTTAGAAATAAGAAGATGTGGTATGAGTGTCAATGAGACAACTCTCCATCCAAGTCACAATGTGTAAAAAGTAAACATGTATATGTCAAAGTATGGCCTTCAACACAGAACCTTGGCTAATACCGAACAATAAATAGTGTAAAACAATTCAAACAGGAAAACCAACGGTCTAATCTATATAGAAAACAAGAAACACTTATGAACCACATCAACTAACGACAACCACTGAAAAACAGGCTCCTGACTTAGCACAGGTGCAAAAAAATGCAGCAGGTTAAAACGTTTTAACAGTTGCCAACCTTCACATTAACCTGAAACAACAGTGTAACATTACAATATAGAAAGACACACTATAAAATATCAGTTGAAATGGCTTAACTCGATCAAAATGACATATTAACAAAAACAAGCAAATATACTCAACGAATAAATTTGATCTACGACACAATATAAATACAATATTAATAAAAAGGGGGATGCAAAACAATGTCCAAAAGACAACTATAACCTGAGACAAAATGGCGTTAAATAAAATAACGTACAAAAGGTAAATTTAAATAAATTTGTTGTTTATAGTACAAGTACAGAAGTGATACAGTTATCTTATTACTCATCATAAGCCAGAAAATCATATGATGCAGTAACCTATTGACACAGATATATATATATATTTCTTGCCTATAAGAAATTTTAAAAGTAAAATGCAAATAAAAAAAAACAGTAAACTATGCAAAACATTCAAAGTCAATGAACCATAATTGAAGGTGCAGAATCAAATAATTTGAAAAAAATGAAATATGCCAAAGCTAATTATACAACTGCATATATCAGAGACTTATCATATGTGGTTCCCCTTAAACTGACCTAATTACAAACGTTAACATGTAAACTATGCAAAATTTCAAAAGTCAATGAACTGATCTATAACAAAACAATTGCCCAAATACTGTAGACAATCACTAACAACAACCACAGAAGAACAGGCTCCTGACCTGTAACAGGTTCAATTATCTATGTGGCATGGTCACATAACAACAACCACAGAATAACAGGCTCCTGACCTGTAACAGGTTCAATTATCTATGTAGCAGGGTTACATAACAACAACCACAGAATAACAGGCTCCTGACCTGTAACAGGTTCAATTATCTATGTGGCAGGGTTACATAACAACAACCACAGAATAACAGGCTCCTGACCTGTAACAGGTTCAATTATCTATGTGGCATGGTTACATAACAACAACCACAGAATAACAGGCTCCTGACCTGTAACAGGTTCAATTATCTATGTAGCAGGGTTACATAACAACAACCACAGGGTAACAGGCTCCTGACCTGTAACAGGTTCAATTATCTATGTGGCAGGGTTACACAACAACAACCACAGAATAACAGGCTCCTGACCTGTAACAGGTTCAATTATCTATGTAGCAGGGTTACATAACAACAACCACAGAATAACAGGCTCCTGACCTGTAACAGGTTCAATTATCTATGTGGCAGGGTTACACAACAACAACCACAGAATAACAGGCTCCTGACCTGTAACAGGTTCAATTATCTATGTGGCAGGGTTACATAACAACAACCACAGAATAACAGGCTCCTGACCTGTAACAGGTTCAATTATCTATGTAGCAGGGTTACATAACAACAACCACAGGGTAACAGGCTCCTGACCTGTAACAGGTTCAATTATCTATGTGGCATGGTTACATAACAACAACCACAGAATAACAGGCTCCTGACCTGTAACAGGTTCAATTATCTATGTGGCATGGTTACATAACCTTCCCTAGATATGTTTTTTGTAGTCCTTGTTACATGAGTTCCATCATTTTGCCTCCATCATTTCATCTTTTTTATAAGAAATATAAACAGGTAAACAAAGGTTAAATCATTTATTTGTATATTTCATGTAAACATAGACATAATATCACATATTTTCATAACAATTTCATCATTTCTATTTATAGTAACAATGAGACAAAAAGACATAAATTCACAACATAAAATAAGAGGGTTTAATTATGGAAGTTCACACAAAGCAATACGCTGCATCATACGCTAACTGTTGTTTTAAATCTTGATGGTAAAATTGTTTTATACAGGTACTACCCACCTTATTCAAATATATAGAGCTCTTGATATTGGTACTACCCACTCCAATCAACATCAACCCAACCTTTGTACACCACTGAGGACATTGGAGTGATTTTTTTATGGTTTCTTAGAAATTCAGTTTTATTCTGCAGTACGTTTAAAGAAAACTCTCTATTTTAGATATTATACAACACTTCGTCGACCGTATATTTTAGATATTATATGACACTTTGTCGATCGTATATTTTAGGGTGTGGTATATATATATTTCCAGTTTAAAATGTAAATCCTGTTTGATAAGATAACCCAATCTAAGGAGATAATGTTTTTAAATGCACCATATTTGCTAAGATCTTTCAAAAGATTCAGCTCTGAAAGGCAAAAACATATGTATGGTATTTGAAATAATCATGTTTTTTCTAGACTAAAACTGAAAAAACAGGTGACTATTTTCTTTTTGGTTATAAAATTTCAAAGTTTGAATGGCTTTGAACAATTTTTGATTGAGGAAATTTTGAATTAATTGGTATGTACAGAAGGCACTGATCATATTGAAATTTTTATCGGAAATTTGGATTGTCAATGTATTTATATAAACCTTTACCCTAAAACAAAACAGGAATTATTTCAAGGAAATTGCACATTTTATATGATTAAAATAGAATTAAAATACAAGGTATGACAGATAAATGCTAAAAATATTAAAACCCCTAAAACACACTAAATAAGTAAAATCTTATTAACATGATTAAAAGTTTGATTTTCTGCCTTATCTGTTTATATCAATAAAGCACCATTAACTTAATCAATGATTTAAAACTTTGTGTAGTCTTGTTGAATCAAGAATAATATAAGTTCAATTCAAATATGAATATAAGGGGTATACATCATTTAAACAATAAGCTGACGACAAAAATAATCATCTTGGGGCAACATACTTATGATACTGTCTCAAAACAATACACAGGTGTTTATACAACGTGTCAAGCTTAAAATCATCAGGAATCTGTAAAAGTTGTAAATGAATTCTAATAAATTCAACAGAAACAATCAAAGATTATGGAATTCAGACTCAGAAATTAACCAATCTAAATACTGGATTTGGTGTTTCTACCACAGATTTTGTACTCTGAGTACTGAGTTAAGTTTTATGACCGAGAGCCCTGCCATCAACACCCAATTCTCAAAATAACAAAAAATATGATATGACATAAAACACTTACTGACAAAATTCCTGACACAGGACAGACATATAAAAATGTGGCAAGTTAAACTAGTTTTATGAGATCTCAACCCTCCCCCTTTTTTTAAACTTGATCAATAGATAAACAACCCATACATTATTATAAAGTTTGTAATTGACTGCTTAGAGCTAAATATTTTTTCAAACACATATTTTAGTATGTAGCTTTTCCAAAGTAATCGTGTGAAGTAACAGGAGTGTTATCAAAAGTGTGAATTATCTGTCTAATTTCTATGAAAAATAACAATATTTTTATTGAAAAAATACAAATATCAAACATGATAGTTTACTCTTTATAAAAAAGCAGTTATCAACAAGACTATAAATAATGACGTGTATTTCTAGCTGAGGTCAAATGAAAACTTATAAAACTGTCTCTCAGTTTGCTGATATAAGCTACGGCAAATTCACAAATTTTTGCTATTATTTATTATTATGATGTTTGAACAAGGGACACATATGCTATGTTAATAAATGCGATTTTAGGAAATGCTGCATACAAATAATGCTATCAAAGTTCAAAAGTTTTTATTTTCGTGAAACTTACTAATTTTCGCCATTATAAAAAGACCGCAAAAAATTCTGAATTAACAGCACTTAAAATGTTTTATCATATATAAATATATATATATATATATTTACAGGATTGTTTTTGCATTATTTTTCTAGCATACAGACTATCCCTACTAATGGAAAAAAAATTCTCAAGAAATACATTTGGTTTATCTGTTTGTGAAGTAATGTATGAGTGCTTGGTTGAAATTAAAATTTTTTACAACAATATTTTTACTGTTAACTGTATTTTTGATGTCTAAAACCAAATTTATTCTGACAAGGGTACCCAAAACTGCTTCTTGGTGAGAAATATATACTCACTTGCAAGTCATCATATCACAAAAAAAAAAAATTAGAAAAAATTCTCCTAGATATAAATGCAATGAAGAATCAGATAGAACCGTCAATGCATAAAATTCCAACTGAAAAATTTCAACAGACCCATTTTTACATTATTACATATCAAAGATTTCTCCTAATATAAAAATAAGTAGATGTGATATGATTGCAAAAATAAGACAACTATCCGCTAGAGACCAAATAATGTAGATTTAAGTAACTTTATTTCACACTTGTGTAACAAATATTATATACAATGGAACACTAAAATAAATGAGGTAACTATAACCCAATTCTATCGTAACAAATCTGCTTAGAAATACACTCGATTCATTCTTTGGATACTCATTAATGCAGATTTTGTTGGTATCCTTGAAGCAAAAATTTAATTGCTTGTGTGTAAGGCCACTTCAGCATTCTTAGCTATATCATGGCGGCCAGTTTTTATATGTGGTGGAAGCAAGGAGAGAACCACAACATTTGGAAAGAAAATTGACCATCCTAGTCAATTAAGGGAACGACCATTTAACTTCAAGGAGGGGGTTATGGTTTTTTCCTAAAAAAAATATTCTGATCCCCAATTTGATGAAAAAAATATTGTGGTCAAGCAGATGACAAAAAAAAATATTCTGAATCCAGATTTTCCCCATACCTTATAGTGTTAAATTTTGTAAAAAATAATTTGATTGATACCTTCGAAAAACTAAAAAAACTAAAAAAAAAAACTATCTAATTCACAGAAAATCCAACCAATCCCTTGTGTTTAAAATAATGTTACAAAATTTTACATTAAGGATGTACTTAGGTCAGGTTTAGGAATTTTTCTCAGATGTTCGGACTCCTGTTTTTTTTCCCCTACGATACAGGTTAAGATATTTTGCCCCATAACACCCATTTTTCTTTTCATATCAGACTTCCATGGCCCATAAATGGTTATTTACTAAATTTTAAGCAGATTCTAGATTTCTTTTCTTTCGATTTGAGACCCAAATAATACCAATGCAAATATAAGGTAAAAGTCCGAGCCAGCCTTTTCTTTTTTTTTTTAAATTAAATATCTCGAAAAGGAGCTCCATAACCTTCAATATTTTGAGCTTATTTTGTTCCATAACAAATGCTCTTCTGACATATAGTATCAATTTTAAATTCTAGATTTTTTTAATTTCACCTAAGTACATCCTTAAAAAAAAAAAAAACTAAGTAAAGATTTGTTTGGAATAGGTAAAAAGAGGTCTGAGGTCACAACAAAATCAAATTTCACAAAAAGGTATGATTTTTGTTTATTATTAAAGAAATCACATATCAATACATTCCAGAATTCATAATGACGGCTTTGTTACAGATAGGTGGGTGGAGATTTTAACGATACTTGCTTCGTTTGTTAGCAGGGTAGAAATACAGTTTTAAAAAAACAATTCAGACCAAAAAAAGTGCCTCCCTGTCCCATGTGTAAAATTCTACGACAGCTCTTTTTAAAATTTCTGACCAACATGTATTTCCCCCTTTTTTCACTAAAATTTAAATAAATCTTGTCAACTAATTATGAAATCCAGAAATAAATTAAAATTACAAGTTTTAATATCACATTGGATTACTATGGTTCACCATGTAGAAGTTGTTTTTGATTAATTAATGGAAGGATTCAACAAACTGGAAGAGTACATGTTTTAAATGAAAAGGTAGATGTTAAAATATTACAAAATGAATAATTTGACATTTGGAATATATTATACAATAAAATATATATACTGATTACCGGTAACAACACACATTTAAATAGCTTTAACTTTTTAACATATAAACTCATTGACAAGAAATCTGTTCCCCAAAAGAAAAATTAAAATGCATCTGTTTTTCCTTTCTAACAACAATTTAACCCAACACACATTATGAAAAATGAAAAATCTCTAACTTTTGATTTCTGACTTCTTTAACTGAAACTCTAAAAGACAGATCAAAAATAAAAATAGTTAAAAGAATACTGCATCAGCAGAGAGGTAGTCATTTCTTGTTTTACTAAGTACTACTATATTTCATTGGACACCTTATGATAAATTACCTGAAAATGAATTGACAAATTATATTTAATTCTGATTTAAAAACTTTTTTATATTTACATTAATGCCATTTATAACAACAAACCTGTGTGTTGATCAATGATGTTTTAAGATCCCCAAATCAATTGTTGACATTCAGCAATCATCCTAGTCCAATATTTTAAAACATTTTAAAGACATTTAACAATTAAAATTTTAAAATTCTGTTTGATAACTAGTCTTAAAATCTAATGTCAAAGAGATACCTGCCAACTTTTGAAAAATCTCCATTTGGGATTTTATGCACACAGACCTGCCAACTATCCCAATTTATTCGGGATATCCCCCATGAGAGGTGTTCACCTGAATTTTGAAATTCTTTATTATATAAACTGAACACCTCAAAACAGGCATTCAAATGAGTTTAAAGGGTATTAAATAAAATTGAGAATGGAAATGGGGAATGTGTCAAAGAGACAACAACCCGATCAAAGAGTAGAAAACAGCACATATATACGCATTCAAACAATATAATAGTAGATTTAAAACATTTATGACAATATAAGAGGAGCATCAGGTCCTTTTGCATTTAAAATCCCCCATGGAGATTTTGAAAAGTTGGCAGGTATGCAGCTCAAGAGGACCTAATAAAGACCTATACATGTCATTAGTGTACTTAATTAGAACATCTATGGTTTTGAATGAGTATACATGTGTTCAAAATGTATTTTTTACTACTCTGCCTTTTTTGAAGTATTTAGTCTAAATAATTGTGTTTTATAAGGGGTCAGGTCAACATCTCTTATGGGGCATATCCCCCGTAAAGAAGGAAAGTTGGCAGGTCTGAAAAAGAGTAGAACATAATCATATGAATAGGCAATGTTATGATAAAAGCAGCAGATTTTAAAATCTATTTACAGTAAATGCACTTGAGTGTGTACAAAGCACAGAGAAATTAAGTTTGTATGTTTGCAGGTGGAACATAAAATCAATAGTTCCTTTGTATACTACCTACTGGGAGGGGGTTACGCTGGGTGCTCATTTACCCAATTCCACAATTTTTTGTAATTTTTTTTCCACTTCCTTTTCCCAGATCCCACTTTTTTTATCCCCTACATCCCTAAAAGCATGTCACCCACCTCTACTGCAAGAGTAGCAATAGTTATCACTAGCCAATCATATCATGGGACCGTTAACAAAAGGGTGATTGAAAAACCTGTTTGACATTTTTTTTCTCTTCATTTACAATAGCCAATAAAGAATTCATGAGTTACCTAGCAAACAAGTAAACTTAAAATGATTGAATGTACACTCTCGACTAGTTCAGTTGTAACAGGTATTATGAAAGTACTTAAATGCATGTTTTTAACCTTTTCTATTGGTATGATCGTAAACTGTTAGTGTGACACTCACAAATGTTTAAATCTCAAGTAAAAAATATCAAATTTAGAAAAAAAGTATTTGAAGACATAAGTCCACTTAAACCAGTTCCCTATGCATATCATACAACCTTGACAGAAATAGTAACCTCTAATAATAATAGAAATACTATCAAATTACTCAACTTTGACCTATTACCAAGGCTAGGAAGGTTGACTATTGCATTTTTTTTTTTTAAATTGGCATCTTTATATTTAAAGTAGCATACAATTTGATAAAATCTTAAATTGATTCTTATATCTTAAAATGATGTAATATATCATACTATATATTAATCACATACATATATATGCAACATAAGTAACATTCCCAATTTTTCTCAAAGTTTCATTTTTGGTTAACAATAAATGAGATCTACACAAAAAATAATTATGCAATAATAATCTACCTTCATAGATATTAATCAATGTTTAATAAATATTTTATAACATATAAAATAATACAGAAATGTCAGTGATATAATGATTTCAATTGCACCATAATAATTGAGGGCAAGTAGATGATCATATATCTTTTATACAGCATTGACTTTTAAGTTGAGGGCATTTAAATATTTATACATGTATTATATTTTCCGGGTTTACATAAATAAAGAATGTGATTAAAATACAAATCCTGTGTCCCAAGCTTTGCTTACAAGGATCTGACAAAGCTCTGTTTTACTTTCTGTTCTGTTCACTATTGCATCAGCCAATGAAATTTAAGCCTTCAAATTTGTGAAGGTGTGTGTTGATCTGAACAATCCAGAGGGTCCCCAAAGGTGTTTAAAACAGAAAGTAGAATGAAGAGTTTTCAAATCCTTGTAAGCAAAGCTTGGGCACTTGATCTGAATTTTAATCAAATGGCATAAATAAATTGAGGATGTTTAAATCAAATGCGATGTTTATCACATCTTTAAACTTAAAACTGTTCTTGATCTTCAGATTTGAATTGCTGTTTTTGAAAATGCATATCAAAGGATTACTAGTATATCAAATCAGATGGTATCATTAATATAATAATAAACTTAATTTTCTAGGTTATAATTTTAAATGTATTCACCAAAATGTTTAGTTGCATTACATTTTCTGTAAATAATGGATATTTAAGGCAATAAACAGAAAATGGACAATGTCCCCACTATTATATAAAGTATGGTAGATTACAATACAATGAATGCTTATTCTTTAAGAGTATTTTTCCAATATGTTTCACAAAAACTGCATATTTCCCCCATATATATCAAGGTAGACATATATATTAAAAAGATAAATTTTGAAATGTGGATTTTGTCACAAAATAACAGATACATTGCACTAATTCAGACATTATAAACATGAGCACCTTTTCAACATTCCAATTTGATATCAAACAATAAAATGTGTATTTCTAAAATATAGTGTTATAACGAGGAATTTTCCTCATCATTAAAAACAGATAATACATTTGTTAGACTAACTACAAATTATCATGGGAGGATAGGAAAGACATTTTTAACATGGGTCATTGAAGGTTGCAAGTCCAAATGATGTATGTTAAATTACCAAAAGTATGTTGGTTGTGAGGTGATTTGGGAAGTCCATTCCTACCCAACCCATACAGTTTTATGGAATAATCCTAAAATTAACTACAATATATCTTCAATTGTCTAAAATTTGTACCAAATAGATAATACACACCTCACCACAAATGAGATGGTTTGATTTTCTCCTACAGAAAAAAAAATCAAAATTTCTAAACAAAAACAAATTTCAGACCTGAACAATGAAACATTGGTACAATATCACATAATGTCATTCTAACTGTATCCATGGCAACATCATACTTCACAACCTTGACATAATGCTGTTTGACCTTTGATATAATTCCTACACGGACATAGTCTCTGTAATTCCAAGTGTTCACCAACACAACTAAATAAGAATTCTTCTTTCTGAGTCTCACACTCGTTAGTCACTGTATTAAATGATGGATAGAGAATTCCGGTAAGTTCTTTACTTTGAGCACATGTTGATCCGCTTTCAAGCAACGATTCCTTAGAGTTTATATCTCGGAAGTGACTAGGATCACAGATTAAATCTGAAAAGAAAAGAACAAATTCATATTTTTTTCTTATAAATTCAACTGCAAAGAATTTTTGAACAAAATTAAGCATATTGGTGCCAGTAGCAAAAAAACCCTTTTTTCTAATTCTTTGAAAGGCATAAACATTTTAAACTTACATTATCCCTGCAATCAACTTCATGTTAGATACTGTTTATAAAGACACAAACTATTGGTTAAGTTTTAGAAGTCATTACATTACTTTTGTAGTCACTTGCTGATCTTTAAAGGGATTATGTGCTCCTTTATAGCACAAGCTTCTTTATAAGTGGTTTGATATTGAAAATAAAAATTTAACTTGACATTACACTATCAATTTCATATTAGATACTGTTTTTTTTTCGTGCTGCAAAATAAAGGTGCTCAAATATTGCTTTGTTCCCCTTTTTCTTTTTAGTGATATCACCAAATGAGACTTAACAAGGAATTTGGAATACAGGACAGGTGTCATTTGTGGAGCAGGATCTGCTTGCCCTTCAGGTTCACCTGAGATAACCACTGGTCTTTTTGCCATACCATTATTGGTCTTTCTTCATTATAAATGATGAGATTTGATTATCCCTTTAGCATCTTTTGCCTTTATTTGTAACAGATCAACAACTCAACTGTACTTGTTGTATGTGTTTATTAACATACAGCGACCTTGGCCTCAACTGTACTTGTTGTACCGTATAGCGGGTTATTTTCGCGGGTCAGGAGAAATCGCGAAAATAAACTCCGCTAAAATTTATGCATACGTTCGATTCTTTCTAATAGCTAAAGCGTTTTGTAAACTATATATTTTTCCCGTTCGACGGATCAATAACGGTTTATGTTAATTTAAACAATATAAATGCCAAATGCCATTGTTCACTGGCCATTAGGTGTTAATTAGTCTTTTGGTTACATTATAAAATAAATAATAATATAAGAGTGTAAGGTACGCTTGTCAGGTATTTTATCCTTATTGATTAGTGTCAAATTATATAAGAGTTGCAAGTCACTCATGATAATTTTATAATCTAATTAGTACATCAAAGGTCCGGTCAATTTCATAACTAATCAATCGTAACATTTACAAGAAGTTTGTACACCTGTGACAAATAACTATGCACCGGTATTCTATTGATTAACTGTATCAAAATATAATCAATAAATAAGACGACATGCAGGTAAAACAATCATTTAACCATAACAATAGACCTGTGTTTGTCATTTTTTAAAACTTTTTAACTGCAACCAGTTCAGTATCCGCCAAAATATTTAATTGGAATTAAAGAATCCACCAAAATAAAAACCGCCAAAATTTTTCGTATACTTTGTTGCCCCTAAATCGCGAAATTTTACACCCGCGAAAATAACCCGCTATACGGTATGTGTTTATTAACATACAGCGACCTTGGCATCAACTGTACTTGTTGTATGTGTTTATTAACATACAGCGACCTTGGCCTCAACTGTACTTGTTGTATGTGTTTATTAACATACAGCGACCTTGACCTCAACTGTACTTGTTGTATATGTTTATGAACATACAGCGAACTTGGCATTCTCCACATATAGGATACTTACTTTTATCTCAGCAGGCATCTTTACATGAAATTTACTTTTAGCCCAGCAGGCATTTTACATGAAACTTTCTTTTAGCCCAGCAGGCATCTTTAGCATGATAACTACTTTAAGCAAAGCAGGCATCTTTACATGAAACTTACTTTAAGACAATCAGGCATCTTTATATGAAACTTACTTTTGGTCCAGCAGGCATCTTTTACATGAAACTTACTTTTTGCCCTCCAGGCATCTTATACATGAAACTTACTTTTTGCTCTCCAGGCATCTTATACGTGAAACTTACTTTTAGCCCAGCAGGCATCTTTATATAAAACTTACTTTTGGTCCAGCATGCATCTTTTACATGAAACTTACTTTTTGCCCTAAAGGCTTCTTATACATGAAACTTACTTTTTGCCCTAAAGGCTTCTTATACATGAAACTTACTTTTTGCCCTTCAGGCATCTTATAGGTGAAACTTACTTTTAGCCCAGCAGGCATCTTTTACATGAAACTTACTTTTTTGGCCAGTAGGCATCTTTACACAACAACTTACTTTTAGCCCAGCAGGCATCTTTACATGAGACTCCTTTTTCACTAAGTATAAACTTAACAGCACTATTTGGAGGCCATTTTGCTGGTTGTTTTTGAAACTGACAGAAATTTTGGTGTTCTATATAAGCATTCATTCTCTGTAACATGCCTTCCTCTGTATACTCGTATGGCATATAAGGATGAAACTGAAAATAAATTGATTAAAAACAATTCTAAAGGATGTTGCTGTTTATACAGGATTTTAACATATTCGAAAATTATTCAACTCCTGACCAAACAAGACTGATAATAAACTCATATGCTACACACAATGGTGAAATAATATGTTGTTCTGTCTCATTGAGTATTCTTCTATATTCAAATTCTTGGATTAGCTATTCTATAAATACTAGCCCACAAATTTGGAGACAACTTATGGGCATATACCTTTTTACTTTTTAACTGAAATTTGACCTTTTTAATTAAGCTTGCAATTTATGTCAGTAATAAAAGTGAGTTAACACAAATTTGAATAGAAGGTTTTTTTAAAATATTCTGGTAAAATTGAGTTATTAAAGTGCTTTTTCTAAACAGATTTTTATGGTTAATTCTCCAATGTTTATCACTGATTAAGATGATTAAGAGTAAAAGGATTGAGTACTCACAAATATTTTAAAGTTAGGAACAATGTTAGAAGACATCTATCACTATTTCCTACATGGGCTTTTATGTTGATGGTAGATCTTTGATGGTATACAGTCACATTTTTTTCTAGACTTCAGATAATTTAGAGCTTGACATATTCAATTGACACTTGTCTCACCATCTTGACATATTGAATTGACACTTGTCTCATTGTCTTGACATATTGAATTGACACTTGTCTCATCGACTTGATATATTGAATTGACACTTGTCATTGTCTTGACATATTGAATTGACACTTGTCTCATTGACTTGACATATTGAATTGACACTTGTCTCGACATATTGAATTGACACTTGTCTCATTGTCTTGACATATTGAATTGACACTTGTCTCATTGTCTTGACATATTGAATTGACACTTGTCTCATCGACTTGATATATTGAATTGACACTTGTCTCATTGACTTGACATATTGAATTGACACTTGTCTCGACATATTGAATTGACACTTGTCTCATTGTCTTGACATATTGAATTGACACTTGTCTCATCGTCTTGACATATTGAATTGACACTTGACTCATTGTCTTGACATATTGAATTGACACTTGTCTCATTGTCTTGATATATTGAATTGACACTTCTTGTCTCATTGTCTTGACATATTGAATTGACACTTGTCTCATTGTCTTGACATATTGAATTGACACTTGTCATTGTCTTGACATATTGAATTGACACTTTTCTCATTGTCTTGGCATATTGAATTGACACTTGTCTCATTGTCTTGACATATTGAATTGACACTTCTTGTCTCATTGTCTTGACATATTGAATTGACACTTGTCTCATTGTCTTGACATATTGAATTGACACTTGTCATTGTCTTGACATATTGAATTGACACTTGTCTCATCGTCTTGGCATATTGAATTGACACTTGTCTCAGTCTTGACATATTGAATTGACACTTGTCTCATTGTCTTGACATATTGAATTGACACTTGTCTCATCATCTTGACATATTGAATTGACACTTCTCATTGTCTTGACATATTGAATTGACACTTGTCTCATCGTCTTGACATATTGAATTGACACTTGTCTCATCGTCTTGACAGTCATATTAAACCCTTGATGATTTTTGGTGTTGTTGTGTAAATGGGTTGCTGGTCTTAATTTACTTTGTCATTAGGGTTCATTTATGGTTAGGGTTAAGTTAAGGCGTGTTCTAGGTCAGGGTAAAGTTTTAGAATTATGGCTAGTGTTAGGGTTAGCTATACTAATGGGTTAGCTATACTAATGGGTAAGCTTTGGCATTTATTTAGACTAGCTCTATATAGATTGATATGTTATCACCATGAAAACATACCCAACATCTCCTGTAATTCAAATTAAGACCTTTCAACTTCCATAATGGTTTCATTTTTTTTTTATTTTAAAGGGCTAAAAAGCTCCAAAATAAGCTTTCTCCATGTATATAAATTGCTTCTTGCCCAGTAATTTGTCTTTACCAGTTATTAATCTATAACTGACCTCATTTCTATGTAATATTCTTGACACTGTATCTTTGACTTGCTGTATATTTTTTATATCTATAGTATATACATATGGTTCACCAAGAAATTGTTCTGCATACGGATGTTGACTTGTCAACTACAAAAAATACAAACAATTTTAATGTCCAAAAATCTAAACAAATTTATTTACACATATCATATAACTTTTGTTTGCATTGGATTATTTCAGTTAATTTTTCACATGACAGTTGCCAATTAATACCATAAAAATATTGACAAATGTGAATATTAACCAATACTGCAAAGGTAGAAATTATACTACCTTTTTTATCATTACTCAAATTGTATTCAGTTCAAGATTTGAATTATCACCCTTGAATTTTTTGTAGCTTTTTAGCACACATGCTTAAACTTTGACTTTTTTCTCATATCAAACTTTTCTAAAAGAGGGGTGAAAAAAAATTACAAAGTCTCCTTGACTTCACTCTGTGTCTACTTGATAAGAGATTTTATCTTGATTGTGTTAACGGATATTGTAGTTAGCGGTGAATATTAATGGCGGTTGGTCAAATAGGCTTCAAGGCTGGTTACAAAAGTTTTCTTTTAAATCAACAACTGGCCCTAAACTTTTATTTGAAAATGCTTGTTCCAAATAAGAAATTAATTTGTGAATTAAATGGTTAGCTTTCCGTTTACTTCATCTAATATTTTCTTCTTCTAGGAAAGAGATAACACAAGAAGTTACATCCCTCATTGTTAAGCATACACCCATTTGTAATTCAAAGTATTGGTAAACAGGAAATAGATGTCTGATAGATCTAAAAAGTGCCCATACTTTACAACATATTACTGTTAAGCTGCTGATCAAATAGGAAGCAATTTTGTTCAGTAGTTCCTGAGAAAAGTGTGACAAAAATATTCATTTTCATCTAACATATTGAAAATTCAAAGTGTCAGTAAACAGGAAGTAGATATCTGACAGATCCAAAAGATATCATATGTTACAACACACCAGTGACAAAAGCTGCTTACCAAATATAAAGTCATTCAGTTCAATAGTTCTTGAGAAGTGTGACAAAAATATTTGTTGGACGAACAGACAACAGACAAGGATGATTACAATATAGCCCTGAATATTAGAGTAGGGGTTTAAAAATTATTTAAGGAATGACTGTAACATTTTTTCTGTCTATGAAGAAATAACATCGAAAATGTGGTGCACACTGAATAAACTGTGTAGCGGGTTATTTAAAAGTGTGCATCACATTTTTTAGGTTATTTCGAATAGACAGAAAAAATATTACAGTCATTCCTTATAATTTAATTCTAAATTCCAGTTCCAAGGAGTAAATCATGAAAAAACGTTGATGAAGTCACGGTCACATGACAAATAATGTCTAAGAGCTGATAGACAAAAAACTTTCAGCCAATCAGAAGACGTGTACATCAAAAATTAAATCATTAATAAATACTGTAAATTAAGGAATTATTGAGAGGTTTTTATTAATGTGAATAATGCGACAGGGTAAGTATCACAATAATAAGAACTCGCATTCTGATATCTGATATATAGAACTGTATGCAGATATTCCTAAAATCGCAATAATTAATCTCACATTTTTGTCCATTCTTCAAAAATCGCAATAATAAATGCATGCAATAATTTCTGAATTTACAGTACTTAATACATACCTTGCGTTCTGTGGGTTTTCCTTTAAAAAATTTGGTATTTTTACTACTATGAGGTGGGTTAAATTTAGGATTTATAAATACAGCACCATTTGCTATGGCTTCTAGAGGGGCTGGTCCTTCATAGGGAAATCCCAGTCCTATAAATATCTGTAAATAAAATTGTTCAAATTATAATAGTTACATTTTACTGTGACTTCTCTCCACCAATAGCAGCTTGTTAAAAATTTTGACTAAATTACAATATGTTTCATTAAATCAAACTGTACAACTCATGACTGTAGTTCTTCTAACGTAGGGTGGTAAAGTTTCTAACCAGTTTGACTGTAATTTGGTCACAATTTTAACTAACTGCAATTGGTGGAGAGAAATCACTGTAAAACATAATTATTTGTGACCAGTTGAATAAACCTTTGTATTCAATAGACCAAGTGTGATTTCTTGGCCAAATTATTAGAAATTATATTTTAAATCGACTCTTTCATTCAACCATAAGAAATACAGATTCAATGGCTTTACTACATAATGTTTGACGTGAATCAAATCTCAATAGAAAATGTTTGATTAACAATCTGGAAAGGATATACACATATAATTCTTATAAGATTTGCAAATACTGTAAACCAACAAATTTTTGGGAGTGATTTATTTTTTCGAGAGTACATAAATAATATGAAAATAAATTGTCTCAAATATGTAAAACTTGGATCTTTCCTTATTTAACTACATCAAGAAAATTTGAAAATTGTGATCGCCGTCAAGTGGACTAGAAAGGGCTAAACCTAAAACAAAGCATCTGCGTAAATAAGTTAGCGAACAGTACTTGATATTGATAGATTCGTTCATTTTTTTAACTTACTTTTGATTGACGTAATAATGTGTGTAGATCTTCTCCATTTAATAACCCATGATTATTTACATACGATGGAATGGTATGAGTTTTATTTTTAGCATCTGTATCTATATACACTGTCCCATGTATTTCTACCAATGATTTAATGACGTCTAAGTACGCTGCCTTACCCTGTAAATATACAGTTAAAGAACATGTTTAAATTTTATTATTTTCAACAATCATCTGCATTCTCCCATTTAAAAAGCTTTAAATGGTTATTCAATTACTGTAAACTCAGCAACTATGTGTGTGCATTAATCATTATTATCTATTTTAGGAAATGCTGCATACAATTAATTGTATGAAATTTCACAACTCGAAACACAAACATGGCCAATATTTTTGAATCTACAGTATTAAAATTCATGACTTGATATCATAAAGTAATTGTATAGGATATGTAACTTTGGTTAGAATGTTAATTATGCAAAGCTGCCTAAATTGTATAGTCCTTATACAACCAAGACAAACTTATCTGAAAAAAAATGTATATTGAAAGTCTCTCAGTCTGAAAGTCTCAAAATAAGGTAGTTGCAATTCTAAAACCATTAATTTTGTGAACAATTATTTATAATTTAACCACCAAAATTCCCAGAACCTTCTGGAAAATTCAAATTGTGTGAATACAAACATAGAAACATTATGCATTTTAATCTATATATCAGTTAAAAATACCAGTAATGAAAAAAAAATTAAGGATCTTGAACACATGATGACACATGATATCAATGTGAACTCTTAACTACTACAAATTATCAGAGTAATTCTCAAGTCTCATGTTTAAAATTTTGCCTTGACAGTACTGTGTTAGTGTTAAAGCATTAAACTATTAAAACACACATAAAGAAACTTATTTATCCTGAAAAGAGCCATTTTATTTACTAAACACCTCTGCATGTGTCTTCATGTTTTATCATAATGTTGGGTTGCTGTCTTAATGAAATATTTGCCACTGGATGTTAAGCAACCAACAATTTTCCAATCAATCTAAATGATATTAAAATAAGAAGATGTGGTATGATTGCCAATGAGGCAAATTATGTAATATTTGTATAATATACTGATAACATCACCTGGTAACCTGCTCCTATTATGAGCAAGGGCAAGTGAAATATTAATCAATACATAGAGGTCAAAACAACATCAATTTCCTTTACAAAAGCATAGCAGATGGGAAAGGGAAATTAAAAAGAAACAAGCCTCAATAAGAAAGCCTAATAGCTATTAACAGGGGACTAGTGACATTCAATTTGATAATTGAATAAACTGCTTCGCCAAGCGCAGATGGATACGACCGCAGAGGTCCAACCCTGGACAGTTGGGGCAAAAATGGACACAATATTCAAGCTTGATACAGGTCTGAATTTGGATTGTAATTAAATATTTGAAACATTATAGGTTTCTGACACAGAATAAATGTAGTAAAAGAACTTAAAATTAGTTATATGATTTGAATATATATTCAATTGAAGATTTCTTGCTTTTGTGCAATACACTGTGCTGCTGCGCAATACTTATTGAATCTGTTTTCAGACTATATACAAAGAAATAGCAATTGTGACCCCAAATTTTTATTTTGAAAATTGACAATTTCTTAAATCTTGAAGACAAAAAATTGACCCCCCCCCCCCCCAATAATTTTTTTTTACCCCCCCATCCCCCCCCCCCCTTTCCAAATATAAATATTTGAAGAAATTTTCTTGTTAATTTCTTAAATCTTGAGGATTAAAAATTGTACCCCAAAAAAAATAAACAGCTGCGCCATGAGCGCATGATACGCCCGTCGTCTTGTGTGTGAATAATCATAAATCGTTTTTGAGATACGGCGTGACATGTGAAAAACCCCTCCCCCTTTTTTTACAAAATACTCAATAACTCAAAAATAAAATTTTGAATCATCACCAAAAAGTATACAGATCTTAAGGTTAATATAACTAAGAAGTGTGTAAAGTTTTAAGCAATAATCATAAACTGTTTTTGAGATACGGCGCGACATGTGAAAAACCCCTCCCCCTTTTTTAACAAAATACTCAATATCTCTAAAATAAAATTTTGAATCATCACCAAAAAGTATACAGATCTCAAGATTAATATAACTAAGAAGTGTGTAAAGTTTTAAGCAAAAATCATAAATTGTTTTTGAGATACGGCGCAACATGTGAAAAAAAACACACACCTGTTTTAGTAATTACTCAAAAAGTTTTAATCTTATTTTCACCAAAAAGTATACAGATCGTTTGACCATCATAAGAAACAACTATGTTAAGTTTCATGAAATTTGGATAAGTCATTCTCAAGTTACGGTGCGACATGTTTACGCCGGACAGACAGACGGACAGACAGACGGACGGACGCCGGACATTTGTATACCATAATACGTCCCGTCAAAAATTTGACGGGCGTATAAAAATTACCCCCAAAATGAATCCCAACCTTCAACTTGTGGTATTGAACCTTGTGGTACAATTTCAGAGCAATCAATATACTTATACACGAGTTATTGTCCTGAAACTAGAAAAATGCTTGTTTTGGGCCCCTTTTTGGCCCCTAATTCCTTAACGGTTGGGACCATCACCCCCAAAAACAATCCCAACCTTTCTTTAGTGGTATTGAAACTTTTGGTCAAATTTAAAAGAGATCCATACACTTTAACTTAAGTTATTGTCCGGAAACCAAATGTCTTCGGACGACGACGACGCAGATGACGATGACGCCGCCGACAACATGATAGCAATATACGACCCCAAAATTTTTTTGTGGTCGTATAATAACACTTCACTAAATTCATTACATTTAACATGTTTAATTAATATTCACTAGCTATTCTTTATATACTATAACAGATGTGGTAATATACTTGAATTAAGAGCATCATAGAATGAAGCTTATTCTTTACTACCAAAATAGTTACAAAATAGTTACTCTAGTTTGTAACAACTTGATATCATATTTTCAAATTTAAAACAAATAATCAATTAGACATTGAAGCGTTATATTTAAGGTATCTAAACCTTGCTGCATTTAATAATCAAAGTTAAGAATATTCGAACCATACAATATTGACATGATCTGTAAACATTTTCTGAGACGCTGACCCTATACCTATAATCTCCTGTCTGAATCTGCTTACAGAGTGACCCTTTACCTATAATCTCCTGTCTGAATCTGCTTACAGAGTGACCCTTTACCTATAATCTCCTGTCTGAATCTGCTTACAGAGTGACCCTTTACCTATAATCTCCTGTCTGAATCTGCTTACAGAGTGACCCTTTACCTATAATCTCCTGTCTGAATCTGCTTACAGAGTGACCCTTTACCTATAATCTCCTGTCTGAATTTGCTTACAGAGTTTGTGAAATGGTTAAGCTACTTTTGTACTTTTATTCATAAAGCCTATAAAGAGTTCTAGAAAAGTGTTGTCTGAAGGTCCTGATCACAAAAATTTTGCAAAGGTAACCAAAACAATTTTACACAAAATCTATAAGGACCTCAAGGGAAAACTCGAGAACTCTGAAACCATTAATCATCACTTACAACACATATTCTTTAAATAGATTATGCATGCCATGGTCAGTTTTAAACCAAAAAAGGAAAAGTCTGTCAAAGGTCTGGCAGGATTTTTTTCGTTTGGCAATTTGTTGTGGCAAGTCCTTTTGTGGCTGACTGTGGGGTAAGGGTTTTGCCCTTTGTTAAATGCTGTTTAGTGAGTTATGGTTGCTTACATCCATCTCATTTTGACTCTGGTGCATAGATGTCTCATTGGCAACAATACCACATCTTCTTATTTTATACAGGACATTATGCCCCTGCATGTGAGAACTGAAATGGTCTTACCGTCTTCAAGAAAAATCATCATCCCAATAGAAGCTCTCTGGTCCCAAGCATTTTTCCATTTTATATACTATCAGCCATGCAATACCATCAGTACGGTATTTCTCAATTCCAATTAAATTTAAAATTGATAGAATATAATTTTCCATATCATCTCAAAACTATCATATCAACTTGAGTTGATAGCCAAGGGTCTGATATGGATAACATCTTGACTGATTCACAATAATTTATCGTAATCTCTTTTTAAATATGCTTTCAGCCAAAATTTCTATTCTTTTATAAATAAATGCACTGGTGCATTGAATTTGAAACTGACTTTTAAATGTAATTTAGACTTTCTACTAGTGTATCATAATCACATTAAACTTTTATTGGACAACATCTCTTTATTACATTAACTGACATTATAACATTTAATACCTGCAAAAATAGGCAAATCAATTTTAAACATAAATCAAACACAACATGGTTGCTCAATTGCTCATATTTTATATATATCTTATATGGAAATAGGTAGAAATGCTCTGCAAGCGTGTTTCTTGGCCTTATAAAAACTGGTTCTTTTTCAATTTTATAAATTTCATTTTCAAACACTATGGATTTTTTTTATTTACAATTTTCATTGATTTTGATTAGAGGGGAAAACTATGAAATAGAAAACATAAAAAAATATAGAGAAACAAGTGAAACTGCGAGCTACTGCTCACTGATGATACCCTCGTCCCAATATTTCGGTAAACAGGAAATTGTTGAGTGATGAATCTGAAAAAGCATCACACAGTATAGCCGACTTGTATAAACCCTGAAACCAAATTTCAGAAACTCTTGTACTGTAGTTCCTGAGAAAAAAGCGACAAAAATTTCATGGGACAGATGGACGGACTGATGGATGGACGGACAGATGGTTGGATGGATGGACGGACAGACAGAGGTAAAACAGTATACCCCCACTTTTTTAAAGCGCGGGTATAATAACTTTGATAGAAGCAAATGATGTAACCATGAAATTATGCTTTTTCAAATTACAAAAATAGACATCAACTAAAAGTATAAATCAACAGTTATAATAAAAAATAGCCCTTTAAATCCACTGTTTCAAAGGAATCGTTCATTTCTATTATATTCAAACACCAAAATTTAAAAAAATGTTTAAAATCAAAATCAGCATATATTGAAGGGAAGAAACTTAAAAAGAGGATCTCTATAATAACAGAAATTTCCAGTGATAAAAATCCCATCAACACCACTCTGTTTAATATTCCCTCTTAATGAGAGACTTTTTTGTTAATAAAAACAACAAAATCACTCTGCAACATTATAAAGCAAGTGTACATCTATAAAAAGAGTGTTGAAATTAAACATATTTAATACATAATTTTCATTAACAGCAAAACCCATTCATAATAATGTTCGCAAATTTTCTTGCATGTGGTCAATTTTCATCAGTGGACATGTAGCTACATATAGGTTTTTACAATTTCTACTCATAATGTTGCCTTTCAAAATCCTGGATCCGCAACTGTTTCTATTTACATTTTTTAAAGAATTTAAAAAAACACACTTATTGTTGAAAACTAGCAACGGTAAATTAGAAATTGGATTAATCTGTGGTTGCCTTACAAGAATTTTCTTTTTTTGCCTGAAGTTTGTTTACTTTTAGAACTTTTTAAATATAACTGACCTCTTGCAAGAAAATTTGTTAACAGCGAAATGGTTTATGCTTTAACGGCAACTCCAAAACCATGACCTTACCTGAACTAAATCATTGTCCTGGAAGATATGAAGGTTAATAGGTCAAAGGTAATTATTTTCGGGGTCTAAGGTCATACCGACTTATTTGCATCATTTAATATTGTTTCAAATTGTCTGAAAACAAACAAACACACACAAACAAACCATGCATGCTGTACTGTGCATAGATTTATTATCTTATATTCATAGCATGCTAAGTATGTATACATTAACAATGAAATAGCATGCTAAGTACTTATACATTAAAAAAAAATTTGTAAAGGTTCCATGGAACCCAGTGTCTCGCCTACTTTTGCTGTTAATCGCAGGCTCAACAAAAATGAGAAAACAAATTAATAAAAATATTCCTCTCTATACTATCTTTTGATTGTAAGTAGCTTCTGTCCAAGTTTGGTAAAAATCCAGGATAGTTTATGAATCTAATAAATGTTTTAAAAACTTAAACTGCAGACTGTATGTAATGTTAACTGGAAGAAAAACTAAATCCATTTATAAGTAAAATACGGAAAAAATGGAACAAAATTGTAACAAAATTTCCTTCTAGATACTAGCTTTTAATCATAAACAAGCTTCTGTCCAAGTTTGGTACAAATCCAAGATAGTTTAAGAAAGTTGTTAAAATTTTAAAAACTTTAACCACAGAGTGAATGTAATGTTAACTGGCAGAAAAACTAAGTCCATTTATAAGTAAAATACTGAAAAAATGATTTTTGTTTTACAAAATTTACTTCTGGATACTATCTTATGATCATAAACAAGCTTCTCTTCAAGTTTGGTAGAAATCCAGGATAGTTTAAGAAAGTTATTAAAATTTCAAATACTTTAACCACAGAGTGAATATTTGTGGACGCCGCCAAGGACGCCGACGGAATGTAGGATCGCTATGTCTCGCAAATTTCACAAAATGTAAAATAAAAATTTAAATGATATTGTTTCTTATCTTGTTTTTTCATATACCAATAAATACTTTAAGTGCATATTTAATTCAATAACATGAAACAAAAATATCAGATAAAAAATAAAGTTGGTGCAAGTGCTAAATGTCTTCCTTTAAACCATACATCATGGTGGTGCTCCTCAAAAAGGAGGCTTATACCATGTATACTAAGAAGATCAATCTATTTGTGATAAAATCCAAAATATATTTACACAATCTGAAGTTAACATGCATACATGACACACAAATTAATCACAGATTGCACTGATGTCAGCTCATGCTCCAAAAAGAAGTGAATAAACAGAAAGTAATTTTTAATAACATCTATATAAAGTAACATGTCATCTTAAAAAGCTGTATCAAGAAATAAATTTGCACTTACAGTATACAAGATTATTTTGGAAATTGATAGGTGTGCCTTCAGAAATTCTTGCATTTGACCTTACCATGACATGGAGCAATCTAAACAAGAATGTAATGTTCTAAAGGCATTCAAGTCATAGTAAGTTTGATACATAAGACTATGTGCTGTGGATTCATCTATTTTCCAGACAGTACATCTCCTTAATTTGGTTCAATTCTTGTAAGTAATGTAATGATGACATTCTACTAACCTCCCACATATATTCGTTTTTCCCATAAACTAAAGCTTGATTTCTCCTTTCAATCTTTACAACATTGGTATCATTTAAATGTTGTTCAACTACAAATCCCATGAAAGAATTATCTGGACTATGAGCTGAAAGTAAAAAAAGAACAGACTGACTAAATTTATGATACTGAGTCCAAATTCATTTCTGAACAATGAACCCTTGAGAAATTGGACAGTTCCTCAATGTAAATAACCATATGGGTAACTTAAGTAAAGAAATATGGTGACATTGGTCTACTTCTGACCAGCAGTTAAACTCTTGACAAAGTGGGATTGTTTGGGTATGCTGGATGTATAAATTTGCAGCAACGATGGGTCAGAACGGTGAATTGAAATCTGATGTCTTGTGTAGAGAGAACGCCAACCTCTCTTCACCTGAAAGAACTCTTTCAGTGGTTAATAGGTGGCTTTTGGCAAGCAAGATTTCTCCCCTATCAAACATACCATTATTTTCAGGTGGCAGTTCAAATTTCCCACCCTTCATCCATGTCATCCCATCTTGCATCAATCCTTCCTATTGAAATAATTGTTTACAGTTTCTTGTCTCAAATATGCATGAAATTATTGCCACTGGATGTTAAGCTAGTAACAATTGATCAATTAAGAGATTTTCAATCTATCTATAAAATTACAAGAGTTCTCTCCCTTATTTGTAAACTTTCACATTTAATTTTTTTTTTAAATGCTATACCTTAACAAATCTTTAAATACCCTTAATGTTCATATTTCAATATTTCAATGCCTAGTGTAGGCCAATTTTCTATCATAAAATTGAAAAAGCAAATGAAACTTGAAAATATATGTGATGTGTGCAATTATGCTCTTCCCCCTTAATTCTTCAACTTGTCCATGAATGTCAAGAACTTTTTTAATTGTTAGTTTTTAGTTAAGAGTTAATATCTTTTATCTTCCTCTAATAAAGACTTACGAAACATAGTGAAAAATTGTTGTGGCTGTAAATCTTGCCCTCCCCACGTGGTGAGAATCTTATGTGCCTTCGCCCACGACCTCAAGTTATATGCTGGCTCTGTTCCAAAAGAGTCCACTATTCTTAGTAAACAACTGAAAAAGAAATGCAGACAATGTTAACTAACTTACCAAACAGTCCAAAAAGTATCATGGTAAAATTGGTGTTTTGGTACTAGTTTGATGTCAGAGTACTGTAAATACTATGTCGTAACAAAGCTTTTAAGGATGTTCGCTACTAAATTTCAATAATCTAATTTTGGATGTAACGCGTCTGCTGATTGGCTGACGTTGTTTTGTTTATCAGCTCATAGACATAATTTAGTCATGTGACCGTGACGTCATCAACGTTTTTTCATTGTTTACTCCGGTTTAAAATGGAATTTAGAATTAAATTATAAGAAATAACTGTAATATTTTATCTGTCTATTCGAAATAACATAAAAAATGTGATGCACACTTTAAAATAACCCGCTACGCGGGTTATTCAGTGTGCATCACATTTTTGATGTTATTTCTTCATAGACAGAAAAAATATTACAGTTATTTCTTAAAAATAACAAGCTTTTTAAAAGACTGTTATAATTGATAGTATATATATAACAAAACTAATTAAACAGAACAAGTTGCAAGGTCCGTGTCCCTTTTTTTTTTGGGAGATATAAGCCATTGAAAATTTGGCAGGAAAAGATTCTCTCTAAATTTTTCATACATTTGTTATTGGCACCTTTTTGCTTTCAAAAACTAGAAAAAAATAACAAAGACTTTATAAGACTTTCAAAATTGGCTTTTACAACTATATGTAATAAAATTATGAAAGAAAAGTAGGGGTTAGTGGGCAAAGTTTTTATTGGCACCACATGGGTAAAGCCAGAAGATTTCGAATATCTGACAAAAAATCAAAAACCAGATAAGCAAACATCCTTTATTCCATTATTTTTCAATATATCAATGCCCAGCATAGTATAATGAATGATTAACATTAAATATCTGCAGCTTTTCCAGAAATCATGATTATAAAATCTCGCATGTTTATTCATTGTACAATAAAGGTACACACAAATTTCTGATTTTACACTACTTTCAATGCATGTTTTTATATTATGGTAATTTACATTTTTTTTAAGTTTTGGTACAAAAATTATTTCTGAGTACTTTCATGTCTCACCAAGTTGAGATTGAACTTACAATAATTTTTCAATAATTTGTTTCAGAAACTAAAGGACTTTTCAAAATTTCATTGCTAGTTTACCAAAAATAAAAATATGTTCATAATACATTGTCAAGAATGTTGTGATCCTACTAAGTTACAGGGACATATATACACAGAGATTGGCAACTCTATGAAATCACGTTAGTTCACTCGGCACGGAATGAGAATCTCGCCGATGAATTACTCTACAAATCAGGGGCAAATAACCTTAAAAAAAAATTTTTTAAATGGGAAAACTTATCTCAGATCGAATAATTTCTTTTCTAATAAGCTACTTGAAAATTGTTGTATATAAATTTTTTTATCGAATTAAAACTATAGGGCTCCAGCATCCTTCTTCTTTTTACTCTGACAGGATATGTGAAAAAGGGAAGTAACTCTTGCCCAATTTGATTCACAAAGACTTTAAAAAATTTTTAGGAAATAAATAAATGTGCATAATGTCTTATGTGGACAAATAAAAATCACGACATCTACTCCATATTCTTTTTTTATTTAAACAATGAAAAACATATATCATTTCAAAAATTAGAAGAAAATGTGTGAAAAAAAATATGAAGTTACTAAACTACCAACATTAAATGTACGAGAAGACAGAGGAATTGAGTTGATTCAATGGAGTATAGTATACTGGTAGTCATTAGTGTACTTCATCCAGAGAATTACCAGAAAGAGGGATTGTAATCCAGAGAAACAAGATGTGTAGGGGGTTTACTGATAGCTATAAATCTTTATTTTATTCAGAGAATGATCAGAAAGATGGGTTGTAATTCAAAAGCATCTCTGTGTGTAGGGACAACATTACTGTCACATTCTGCTGCCAAATTCCAAGGGCCATAACTCCTAATAAAATAGGGCATTTGAATCAAAATAGGTACTCAGTCCTCACAATTATCTACTTGTAAACCTAAATTTGCTTAATATTTACATGTATAACTTTAAAGGGGCATTGGTGGAAGAGTGGTTTAAGTAGTTCAACTACTGTATCACAAGCCTGTCAACACTGAGGTTGTGAGTTCAAGTCCTGCATGTGCAAGATGCACTCGACTCCAATCTTAATTGACTAGGATTGTCAGTTTTCCTACCAATTAAAGATTGTGGTTCACTCCAGCTGCCTCCACCAATTAAAACTGGCCGCCATGAAATAGCCAACAGTGCTTTTAACACCAATCAATCAATCAATCAATAACTTAGAATCAATAACTTAAAATTCCAAATACATGTACCTGGTGTACTACTGAATGACAAAAGGACAGATAATGAGTAACACTGTATCTATCTATGCCAATGCCCCTGAGTGGCAAGTTCATAATTGTACTTCACATATTTTGTTTTTCCCAAATTATTTGTATCAAGTTTACTTGATAGAAGTTATTCCAGAAACATGTTATTTTATATGAGACTCTAATTGAACAACAAATGTAAACCAAACCATCTAACTGTCACAAAAAGCTAAACCATATAGAGGTCATTGTGTGGTACCCTGGGTAATCAACAATTAACAGGTATAAACCATATAGAGGTCATTGTGTGGTACCCTGGGTAATCAACAATTAACAGGTCTAAATCATATAAGATCCCACGGAACTAGTTGTCATAATTATGTCATATCTCAATGTTTTGCTTTTTTTAGAGAATTGGGTGTGAATGGCAGATTTTATTAATTGTTTCCATTAAATTTATTGAACTTTGATAGACTTGGAATAATTGAGATTTCGTCATGCTGTATAGACACCTATATCATGTTGTTGAAGACATCCTCTGGATACCTTTTGGTTATTTTTGTCATTGGGTTGCAGTCTTGTTGATATATAAACCAAGTCTCCTTTTAAACAAATTGAAAATACAAATTGTGGGATGATTGAACAAAGGTTATAAGGACATCTCTTGGTTACGGCCAGTCTAAATAAGTTGTTTAGGTTGTTTCAGAAGAGAAGATCTTTGTAAATGTTTACAACAGACAGGCAACAACAACAGATTCCAAGTGATGGCAAACACTTGTATGGCCTTTTAGGACAATTGAGTTAAAAAAAGTAGTTTTTCATTTATTTTTCTGAGAGAAGAATTCCATTATCAATGAGTTTGTATATTTGTGTAAACTTTAGCATTTGTCTCAAGCAATTCATTAATCATTATGTAACTCAGCCATGAAAATTTATATCTCGCAAAGTTTAAGGTTCTCTGCATTCATAAGCATAGCCATTCCATTGACTTCAATTTCCTAAATTCTGCACATGCATGTAAGCAAAGTTTAAGGTTCTCTGCATTCTTCAAAGCATCAAATATCAAGGACGATAACTAGCTCTAACATAGCGACATATATATATATATATGGAATAAATAACTTCCAAGTAGTTTGTTTTGCTGATTTCATGTTTTAGTCTAACTGATCCCCAGTATCATAAAGGACCAACTAAATTTTTGCACTTTAACCTCCCCTTCAACCACAGAAAAAACTCAATGGACAACTGCCTCTTGTAAGGGAGATTGAATGATCACATCCATAAGTGCAATAAAGATCACTGAGGAGGTCACTGATGAGAAGACTAATCTAGGGAAATGATAGCTGCAGAACCGTAACTCTAATGGTCCTCATTATGATTTCTGATTTGTGCAATTTGCATATTGTCAAAATTATCACAAGGACAAAAGAGCTACGGCTCTGCAGCTAGGGAAATGCATGATGGGAGTCATTTAGAAATGTTGTCAAGACCAGACTTGCATGTTTATATATCACTCAGGTATCAAGAATACTGGGAATATAGAACATAAATATAAAAGGCATATGCACATTTAAAAGTCATAAAGAAACAAAAGCCAAACTGGTTGCTATAGAAACGAATATTTACATTTAAATCAACAAGAAATATCATGTGACCAGCCATGCACATGATCAGGTGGTGACCTCTTACCTGTTCTGCTTCTTACTAAAAATAACAACACTTTCAAAATGGAGTTTTAATTGCACTAAAACAGCTCTTACAATATTACTCACTGATCTTTGTCTATTTGTAGCCACTGATTTTTGGATAAGGAAAATGGAAGAGATCGTTGATTGGTAAAAATGGACATGCTCATGAAAAAGTAGAAATCAGATCAAATGATCTTTGTTGTACAGTACTAGTGAAACTTGTCTAAGAGTAACCCAGTTTTAAATGGAAGCTGTCTAAACTAAACCTGATATCACCCCCCGTTTTTGGTGGGGTTCGTGTTGCTCAGTTTATTTTTGACTTATGAGTTTGAATGTCCCTTTGGTATCTTTCGCCTCTATTTTAAACCTGGCATTAACAGAAGCCGATCTAAATTGAACCCTGTTTACACATGTTACACTGAACTCTGTTTTACACAGAAACATATCTACACTGAAACCTGTGTAACTATGTTACTGATCAAAGTATTGTGTAGGACCAACTAACTGGTTGCACTGTATGTGAGCTAAAAAAAGTGTCAAACAAAAGCCTTTGTAAATTGATCCCTGTGTAATACTGAAGTCTCTTTAAACTGAACCATGTGTTAAGGAGTAGATTGCATTTAGTCGCCAATTTATTATGAAAGGGTGGTTTAAAGTGCTAAACAGGTTCCATCTGACAAACACACTGACACATTTATACACAATAACTCTTATCCTGGTTAAAAACTATATACTGTGGATTCATTTCTTTTTGTGGGTACCAATTGTCATGGATTGAGGAAAAAATGTTTTCTCATGGATATTTGATTTCATGGTTTTGCCAAAATCTGCAAACAAGACTATAGAAAATGTGTACTTCTCTGAACATTTAAATTCATGGTTCACATTTGCCCACAAAATCCACAAAAAGTGATATCCCACGAATAATGATCATGATGAATTGACAGTAAACCAACAGTAACCATGGTCATTTAATGGTATTAATGGCGAGGCGATTGGGAGAAGGGCGGTTGCCTGACATATAATTATGAACTCTTCATGTAACTTTTTGCCCATGTTAACTACAGGGGATATTAATTCTTTGTCTGCAGATGCTCACAAAACCACACTTCTAAAATCTGACCAAATGGTAAAATTTCCCCACTTCTTTTTTAATTTTACACCTTGTGTACTCTCTATGTTGGACAAAACAACAAAATCCAGATCCTAAGCTCAATACTCACCTGTGTTCCTGCATTAACTTTCTGTTTGAATATCATTATGTATACTTATATATACTGAAACTTTTGCTTAATGAAAAAAGTTTACAAAAAGACTCTGAAACTGTACTTGAATAAATTTTGTAAGGTTCGTGTAGCTTGATCTTTTAAATACTTCTGTGTGTTTTGTGGACTGTTGAGTCTTTTTGTCATATTTCGATTAGCTATGGTGTTGGTCTTTTTTATCTACTTGTGGTTTTTGATTTCCACTTTGTATCGTCTCCTCTCTCTTTAATATCAAGCATGACAAACATCTCCATCTAACACTGAGAATGAAGTTTGTGTTATAACCAACCAAATGAAAGTTTTCCACAGAGTCATCTCCTCTTGGTCAAGGTATTTAAACTTTTGTTAGTTCACTTATATAATAGCTTTTGTTCTCTGTGAAGTTTATTCAATGGGACCTTTGAATTTCTTCTATGAGAAATCCATCACTCATTGATTAATTTACCTGAACAAAAAATTTAACTTTCAATGATGAAAATACGTGTACCAATACTAAACATTTGCTAAATAAGGACACACAAAACTGCAATCAACTTTTAATGTTTGAATCAGTGTTTATTTTGAACACATTGAAAATATTTTATCGATATTGAATAAATACAACATCCCAAGCAGTTTTGTGTGTCCTTATTTAGTATTGGTACATGCATTTTCAACATTGAAAGTTAAATTTTTTGTTCAGGTAAATTAATCAATGAGTGATGGATTTCTCTTAGAAGAAATTCAAAGGTTCCATTGAATAAACTCCTCAGAGAACAATAGCTATTGTGTTTATTAGATGGAACAAAAGAACTTACAAAAGTTTAAATGGACAGGTAACGTTCAAGTAACGTTCAAGTAAATCTGTGGAAAAGGATCAATACTTTCGCAATAATGATACTGTAAATTCAGAAATTATTGCAATTTTTCAAGAATGGACAAAAATGTGAGTTTAATTATTACAATTTGCAAACAGATCTATGTTTCAGTTATCAGAATGCGAGTTCTAATATTGAGATACTCAACCATTTGCATTATTCGCAATGATAATAAATTGCTTCGCCGAGCGCAGCTGGATACGACCACAGAGGTCCAACCCTGAACAGTTGGGGCAAAAATTCAATATTTGACACATAGTAGGTTTCTGACACAGAATAACTGTAGTCAAAGAACTTAGAATTGGTTATATGATTTGAATTTATATTCAATATTTTGCTTTTGTGCAATACACTATGCCCCCCCTTTTTTTTTTGCTTTTGTGCAATACACTATGCTGTTGCGAATTGACCTCCAATCCTAACCAATCCTTTGTGGTATGGAAAGTTGTGGTATGGTTTCAGAGAGATCCATACACCGTTCCAAAAGTTTTGTCTGGAAACTAGAAAAATGCTTCTTTGGGCCCCTTTTTGGCCCCTTATTCCTAAACTGTTGGGACCATAACCCCCAAAGTCAATCCAAACCTTCCTTCTGTGGTTATAAACCTTGTGTTTAAATTTCATAGATTTCTATTTACTAATACTAAAGTTATTGTCCGGAAACCAAATGTCTTCGGACGACGCTGACGACGACGAAGTGATACCAATATATGACTGCAAAATTTTTTGCGGTCATATAAAAACCTCACAATAATTTCTGAATTTACAGTATTCTGACCTTTTCATTGTATGTGTTATTGTGTAATTAGATTATAAGATGTGTTCTTCTTGAATCTCCCATATAGATCTTTATGTGTTCTCTAACATAAAATGTGAAAATTTCATATTCCTCACTGTCATATGTTTTAACACTACTATATTAATAAAGTGGAAAATTTCTGGAGCGATATATTTCCGCTAATTGCTAAAATAAGATAAAATAAAGAAAATTCCCCTCACCCAAATATCTTTAGAATCAGAGACAACTAAAACAGGAAAATATGAACAAAACTGCATGAAACAGGGTTGCACTGGTAATGGCCAAATTTCAAGGCAGTATGAATAAACCATTACATATATATATATTACTGTAAATTCAGAAATTTTTGTGATATTTTCATTTTTGCAAAAATTGCAATTGGGTACTTTTCCATAAATTCAAACTAGCATTTTAAATTTTGATATTATTTTTCTGCAGCAGTTACTGAAATCGCTAGAATTAATTTCCCATTTTTGTCCATTGTTCATGCAATAATAAATGCATGCAGAAAATTCATAATTAACAGTACTTATACATCTATAGCTCAACAATTATACCTATCTTTTTGATAACCTTAACCATTTTACTTTTCCTCAGTAAACACCTTTTAACAAGATTTTCCAAACATTATGAATAATAATTCTCATTATAAAAATCAGATATAGACAGTAGTATGATTGCCAATGAGAAACTTTCAACCGGAGTTCAAATGTTGTGGATGTAAGCAATTATAGACCACCGTAAACCCTTCAACAATGAGAAAAACCCATACTGTATACATAGTCAGCTATAAAAAGCCCCAACATTGTATACTATTCTTTGCTATTTTCATGCATAAGCTGAAGAAAATCTCATGAGACCAGATAGAGGAGGTCAGGCAGGTTTTCCCATCATCTACCCTAATCCAACCCAAAACTAAAAATATTAAAAAGGCAATTTTTTTTTTAATTTTGGGAGTTTAATAACCTTTTCTTAAATTTCACAAATCTAAGTATCAAAATTGATCAGAAATTCTTTTGTCAGTTTGGGAATCAGGTGCTAGGGAACTCACTGATAAAAAGAGCTGTGGGTATATTTCAATTAGACATTAAAGCAGCCAAACAACACAATAAAATAAATCTAAATAATTTGTATTTCTAGCAAAATACAACACAGAGTAATTCTATATGCAAAAATTGATAACTTAGTAAAAGCAGTGATAAATAAACCTGCATAACAGTACATGAGAACTAATGAGTTTACAGTACCGGAATATTATCTTCTATTGAGTAATAACTCTAATTCTCCAAAAGTTCTTACCTAAATTTACCATAGCCACCTTTGACATGCTTTTTAAACTGCCGCAAACCAACTATGTCAGTATATATAATATCAACAGGTAGCTCTTTTCTACTCTGGCAAGGAGAATTTGCTGCTGGGAGTTTATTTAAAATCCTGAAAAGACAAAGTACATATTAGTTTAACGTAAGCAATAACTTGGCCAATTTAAGGATGTTTTCTACTCATGTTTTTAATTTTTTGTCAGATATTCAGAATCCTCTGGTTTTATCCATGTAGTTCCAATAAAAATTTTGCCCACTAATCCCTACTTTTCTTTCTATAATTTTATTGCATATAGCTTAAAAGCCATACTTGAAAAATCTTATAAAATATTTGTTATTTTTTGAGAGTTTTTGAAAGAAACTAGAGGCTCTAAAGAGCCTGTGTCTCTCACCTTGGTCTATGTGCATATTAAACAAAGGACACAGATGGATTCATGACAAAATTGTGTTTTGGTGATGGTGATGTGTTGTAGATCTTACTTTACTGAACATTCTTGCTGCTTACAATTATCTCTATCTATAATGAACTTGGCCCAGTAGTTACAGTGGAAAATATTTTGTAAAAATTTACAAAAATTTACAAAATTTATGAAAATTGTAAAAAATTGACTATAAAGGGCAATAACTCCTTAAGGGGTCAATTGATAATTTTGGTCATGTTGACTTATTTGTAGATCTTATTTTGCTGTACATTATTGCTGTTTACAGTTTATCTCTATCTATAATAATATTCAAGATAATAACCAAAAGCTGCAAAATTTTCTTAAAATTACCAATTCAAGGGCAGCAACCCAACAACGTGTTGCCTGATTGGTCTAAAAATTTCAGGGCAGATAGATCTTGACCTAATGAACAATTTTGGTTGTTGTCAGATTTGCTCTAAAGGCTTTGGTTTCAGAGATATGAGCCAAAAACTGCCTTTTTCCCTATGTACTATTTTTTAGCCATGTCGGCCATGTTGTTTCGTGGGCGGGGTCATCCGACACATTTTTTAAACTAGATACCCTAATGATGATTGTGGACAAGTTTGGTTAAATTTGTATTAGTAGTTTCAGAGGAGAAGATTTTTGTAAAAGATTACAAAAATTTACGAAAAATGGTTAAAAATTGACTATAAAGGGCAATAACTCCTTAAGGCGTCAACTGACCATTTTGGTCAAGTTGACTTATTTGTAGATCTTACTTTGATGAACATTATTGCTGTTTACAGTTTATCTCTATCTATAAAAATATTCAAGATAATAACCAAAAACAGCAAAATTTCCTTAAAATTACCAATTCAGGGGCAGCAACCCAACAACGGGTTGTCAGATTCATCTGAAAATTTCAGGGCAGATAGATCTTGACCTGATAAACAATTTTACCCCATGTCAGATTTGCTCTAAATGCTTTGGTTTCAGAGATATAAGCCAAAATCTACATTTTACCCCTTTGTTCTATTTTTAGCCATGGAGGCCATCTTGGTTGGTTGGCCGGGTCACCGGACACATTTTTTAAACTAGATACCCCAATGATGATTGTGGCCAAGTAGTTTCAGAGGAAAAGATTTTTGTAAAAGTTAACGACGACGGACGACGACGACGGATGACGAACGCCAAGTGATGAGAAAAGCTCACTTGGCCCTTTGGGACAGGTGAGCTAAAAAGGTGCCAATGTTATATATATACGAAAAGTTTAGAAAGAATTATTGCCTGCCAAATTTTTAATTGATTATATCTCAAAAACAAGGACACGTACAGGTCATTTATTTTCTACTTTTTAAGTTCCATTATTCATATACTATCAATTCATGACAATATTTTAAAAAACATCCTTAATAATAAAGAGTTTACAAGTTTCCTTACCAATTACAGCTCTTTTCATAATGCTAGCAAGACAAACGTTTGTTTGGCTTGCTTGCTTTGTTTGTCTCAATGTTTGCTCATGCATTGTAATTAAGATTGACATCTGCAAACAATATAAGTAGGCGGAGTTAAATCAGTGTAAAGATAAATTTGATTATTTGATAATGTCCAATCAAATTTGATGTATACAAGTTTAAATCCTCCTTTTTATGTTGTTTTCAGATGTCAATCTTAATTACAATACTTGAGCAAACATTGATACAAACAAAGCATAAGCCAAACAAACCTTTGCCTTGCTAACATTATGAAAAGAGCTGTAAACAATTTTAATTGGCAAAATATAAAAAAGGCAAGATCAATACAAAAATATTTTAATGTGACTCTTCAAGATTTTGAATCCAAACTGACTACCCAATATATCATAAACCAATTACTAAACTAGAATGTGTCCATAGTACACAATGCCCCACTCACACTATCATTCTCTATGTTCAGTGGACTGTGAAATTTGGATCAACACTCTAATTTGGCATTGAAATTAGAAAAATCATATCATAGGGAACATGTGTACTAAGTTTCAAGTTGATTGGACTTCAACTTCATCAAAAACTATGTTGACCAAAAACTTTAACCTGTAGCTGGACAGACGGACGAGCAAACAGAAGAACGGACGAATGAACAGACTAACGAAAGAACGGATGCACAGACCAAAAAAAAATTATGCCCCTCTACTATCGTAGGTGGGGCATAAAAACATGCCCATGTTATGACTATATCTAAAAATAATCATGATTTGCCTGAATCCAATTATGGTAGAACTGCATGAAATAAGGAAATGTATAAAATAAATTTGTGATGACAACCAATCTATATGTCTTCCTTCAATATAGAATTGGTTTTACATCCAAAGGAAAGGTAGGTAATTAACCTCAGGGGTCAGAAGCAAGGGAGGTAATGACAAGTTTTCCACCTATCTGCCATCAAGGTGACTATTTTTTATAAAATATTGGAGTCTAAATCACCACTGTATAGGCTTAGCCATTCCATGAAGAAGCCATGTGCCACTGCGTGCATTCATTATTATTCCTGGGAAATCAATTTTTGTAGATTTCATGGATACAGGTGAACAACGAATTTAAAAGTTCAAGGAAATACAACTTTTTTTTTAGACTTGTATGTAGACTTTGGAAAAACCATGAAATAAAATATCCAGGAACATGCAATTTCCATCAATCTAAGAAATTTGGTACCTACGAAAACATATGAATCCACAAAAATATATCAACCCACAGTAATTAATTAAACTTTTGATTTCATGATATTTATTGTAATATGTATGATTCATCCAATGTTATCATGTACATTAACCAGGTAAATAAATTTAAAAAATATTTGGTCTGGATGTCTGGCTCACTTTTGATTTTGTACAAGGTTTTTGTTGTTCTATATATACAAAATAATGAATACAAAAAGAGTCCCTCTTTTAAGCAAGTCCAACTTTTTATATATATACAAAATAATGAATATGAAAAGAGTCCCTCTTTTTGAGCGTCCAACTTTTGATATATACAAGATAAATGTATGAAAAGAGTCCCTCTTTTTGAGCGTCCAACTTTTGATATATACAAGATAAATGTATGAAAAGAGTCCCTCTTTTAAGCAAGTCCAACTTTTTATCAAGTCCCTCTTTTGAACATACCTGTACATGTATCACCTATGTAGGAAAATCATACTGTTACTGATGAGACTTATTCTGACAACACAATACAGTGAATTCTTGTATTGTCTCAACTTTCCTGTTTTGTATTGCTGAAAAAACTTTCTCTTGAGGCTTAAAAAAGGCAAGGTTTTATTTTTGGTAAATTTGCAGGGCCATATAAGCCTGTAACTGTACCTTATCCTTGAAATAAAACGGAAATGTCCCTAAATGGGTGATTTGTGTGTTAGTATAAAGCTAGAATAAATATATCATAAACTTTAAATATAATAAAATAAGGGAAGCTACATATCGAATCCCCTAAAATATAATATTATGCTGTCAAAATTAAAGGGCTAATTACAGGTGAAAAAGAGGGGGAAAGTTAGTTTTTTTAACAGCATTTTCCATAGTTATTTAATTTATCAAAATTATACAATAAAACTTCTATCATTTATCAGTCAGAGCTCTGACATAAACAAGTCAGAATAAAATGACTTCCATAGGTCAGATATAATTTGATGTAAGTGTTGTCTCCCTTCTTGCACTCAACAGAATATGACTTGTACAGGTCAGTTTATGTCAGACTTTAATTTATCATAAAATGACTTCCACAGGTCAGCTTTTGCACAAAATATTGTGACTTAATATCTTCATATTCTAATAAGACTTATGCCCCTTTTTAATGCATTTTGACTTCGAGAGGTCATTTTTGTTCTGATTTGAAGCAGTCATTACTACCACTTTGTTATCAATCTCCATAAAAATATGGTGATTACTAGTTTGGAATTAAAGAGTTTTAAAAAGTGGGGCTCATCTGACATCATACCTTCTCCTTTCCAGAATCTAAACATAATATATTTATCTCATCACTTTCAATTATTTCAAAATACAAAGAAAAACCAGGTGAGAAAAAATGGATCATACAATTTTCGGAATATCAAAAGATTTACAAAATACAATATTGGATACATTTACTAGTACCATGACAATACTTCAAATCTTCCAAGGAAAAACAAGACACTTATTCATGATAAGACTATGTTAATAAAAGATATATTCTCATCCACTTTAAGCTAAATGTATTAAGAGCAAAACATTTATTATTTTAATATTTCATTGAGGTAAACACTGTTGTGCAAACTGACTCAAACAAGTCACATTATGTTCTGACTTACTAAACGTATTACAACTTTTAAGTCTAGTATTGTCATATTGATTAAAAAATGTATAGGTAAGCCAGATAAAAGACTGAGGAAATTAGGTCCCCATAAGTCACAATAATGAGGACTATAAAAAAGTTTATTTGGTATATTCAATATTAAATGTATTTTGTTTTAAACAGGTCAAATCATGTTCTGACTTAAAAGAGTCAGTCCAAAACTAAAATAAATTTATTGAAATATTTAAGCCGGGCATTGCCATATCATATTAAATGAATGTATGGGAACGTCAGATAAAAGACACAGGAAATATATGTTAAGATCCCCTAAAATAAATAACCATTTGACTTAATTGTTTCTAAAAATTTATCAAATAATAAAGTCGAAAATGGCAGATTCAGAAGCAGTC